GGGACTGCTCTTGTTCCTTCTTTTCTATCATGGGTCGATAGAACACATTTAATGATTGAGGGGGCAAAATTCTCCCAGTTTCAGCTGCTACAGGAGCCACCTTTACTTGTAAGGAATACGTTCCAAGACCCACAGTAGATCCCTGAAGCATCAGATAGAACCAAACGCAACTGCTGTCAGTCAGAACGTTTCCGTTCATGTCTTCCACCCACACATTGAATACTTTTCCATCTTAATTGAGTACTTATGCACTGTGGCCGTAACTTTTCAGTTTGAATTGCGATGGCAAAACTAGCACAAATTATTTTTCCTTTCTTCACAATTTCATGGATAGAAAATTCATTCTTATGTAGATCTTAGTAAACTCAGCATATCGTTATTTTTTCTTTTCTTATTAACTGAAGAACTTTTACCTTTTCACGTAAGTGAAGCACTGTGGGCAAATCCAGATTGCCAGCATTATTACTCTTGTGCTTTGGAGCCATTTACAAACACTGCCACACCGGGACAGTGGATCTGACCACCAAGAGGGCTAGAAAGTGACTAATTAGAGTGTGGAGCATAGACAACGGAGATCTCCTGAACAAAGGGGTGATCGACTCCCTAGGTGGGATGGATCAGGAAAGCATGAGATTTTATCATACTACTCAGAATAGCAAGCAATTTAAACCTTATGAGTTTCTGGTTTTTTTTTTTTTTTTTTGAGACAGAGTCTCACTCTGTCCCCCAGGCTTGAGGGCAGTGGCGTGATCTTGGCTCACAGTAACCTTCACCTCCCAAGTACAAGTGATTCTGCTGCCTCAGTCTCCTGAGTATCTGGGATTACAGGTACATGCCACCATGCCCGACTAATTTTTGTAGTGGTAGTAGAAATGGGGTTTTGCTGTGTTGGCCAGGCTGGTCTCAAACTCCTGACCTCAAGTGATCTGCTCTTGGCCTCCCAAAGTGCTGGGATTACAGGCATGAGTCACCACACCCGGGCAAAATCTTATGAGATTTTTAGTTCTGGAATTTCCTGTTTAATATTTTCAGACTGTGATTGACTGTGGGGAGCTGAAAGCATGGAAAGTGGAACCATGGTTAAGTGGGGAGCGACTGTATTCTCAAGTGGGTCTCTGTGCATTCCTGTGACTCCTGCTCAGTAGTTTGGGGTTCTCCTGATCTCAGATCCTTCAGACATTCCTCCGTTGCATCTTTCTTCTACCCTGTGCCCTCCTCTGATACCATGAAGATCTTGTGCCTATTGCTGGTTTCTCCCCATTCTGTTTGTATTTTAAAGTTTGTGGGGATATCATGTCATCTGATTTTGTTTTTGTTTTTTGGGGGTTGGTTTTCTAGTTCTATCTGGTTTTATGTGGGGATTTGGAGATAGTGAAAATGATGCTGCCACTGCCACTGCCACCATATTTCTAGACTGCCTCCTGATATTTCTATTTAACATATTAAAAATATACAAGCAGGTAGATAATCTGTAAATTTCTTATGCTAGAGAACTGAAAGGAAGATGTGTTAACCACTACTGCTGCTTCTGGGTGAGAATTCAGAAATATCCCCATAATTCTGGTTGAAGTCTCCTTCATTGAGGCATATACTGTTTTATTTTTAGTTTTGTTTTTAGTACTCTGTTTCCTTTGTAGTTTGATTTTATTGTTTAGAAACGTAACTGTCACTCCAGAGCCTGGGTTGTGTACTCTTGCTGTCTCATGGAATTCTGGGATCATGCCGTGTTCCTCGAAACCAGGCGTTGAAATCTTCAGAGACCTCTAGTTACCATGCATAATCGTATCTGGGTTCACTCTAGCTTTGCTTTCTTATGATGCCTGTTCTATTTACAATAGGAGCCTGGGCTTTATGTCACCCAAACATCTTATTATGCCCTTTGTGCTGATACTGTGAACAGAATGTAAAAGATGGCTCTTTCCCTGTGGATTTTGTTCATCTTGTCTGTCTTTTGGACTGATATAGTAACTTAGGGAACACATTTCCTGTCAACTCTTTTCCCTTTTCACTGTGACCCCAACTGTGAATTATTTAAGCTTATCTTATAAGTGATACTGATGGAAATGTGCCAAGGAGAGATAAGTTGATCTTTCAAGTATGGTCTTAATTTGGTTTGGAATTTAGTTTAATGTTGTCATTACAAATGTCCAAGATTCTACGTGAAAGTCGGAATTAATCCATGCAGACTGTTATCGACTTGACAAAGGTACTTATGCTAAGTGGTCTAAATTGCTATACATGCTTTCTCAGAGTGGCTGCTAAGACACGACGGTTTCCCTCTTATACCATGTTTAGAATAGCAGTCAAGGCAATTTGTAACATCTTTTTAGGTGTACTTTCTACCACTTAAAATTTGGGCAAAAAGGCAAATGGGAACTCTATATATTTTAGCCTATTTTACTTTAAATAAAACTTCATGGGTAATTCTTAACCTGAAATTTATTTTCTTGTAACTTACCAAACAGATACCTTCTTTCAAAACAGGAATAGAAAATGGCCAGTTTTGTCTGTAAACAAACATTTACAGACTTAAGACAGTTATTTTCCTCTTAGTGGAGTAATGGTGAGGACTAGAGCTTGGGAATTAGCCTGCCTGTTTCCAAACACCAGCGCTACCATTTTGTAGTATGTAGGCATGTGATGCCGGACAGTTTTCAAGCCTCTTTATGCCTCCATTTCCTCATATGTAAACTGTGGTAGTAATGGCACCTCTATCACAGGGTTGATGTGATGGTTAAATGAGATAATGCATATACATGGCAGATTCTTAACTATTGGTTTAATGAATGAAAATTGAGTGTTTATGATGTCTTAGGCAATGTGCTGGGCAATTGGGATATGATCATTAGCAAAAAATCCTCTGTGTGGAGCTTTACAGTATAGGTCACAGGAATAATTAATTAGTAGTCATATTAAAGAGTACAAAATTGCAACCCTGTTAAGTGCAATGGAGAGGTATGTAGCTCTCCAGGAATGTGTCATAGGAGCTTGAGCTGTCTGGGGGCTTCAGGAAACTTCCCCTTGGAAAGACTGAGTGAAGATGTAAAGAAAAATAGATGGGGATGAAATAAGTGAGGGTTTGCTGCATGCGTGCATGAGAACAGGTAGGGTGAGGGTGTTTGAGACAGAGAGAAGACCATGGAAAATGGCTGTGTGGCAAGAGAGAGCTTGGTGAACACAGAGAGCTGAAATAAGGCCAGAGTGTGATGGGAAGAGTACAATGGCCAGTGTTTCCGGAGAGGAGACTGAAGAAGGAGGGAGGAAAGTAGGGGTCACAACTTGGAGGCCTTCACAGGCCATGTTTAGGAACTGGTCTAACAAAACAGTGTTAGATATTTAAATTCCAAAGAGATGTTTGCTATGATCTGCTGTTATTGTTCTTTTTGTTCCTCAGCAGTCTTTCCTACACTAAATATATTTATAAACTTTAAGATTTATTCATTAATTCTTTTCCTGAGTCTCTGTTATTGCTTTTCTCTGGATGCTAATTCCTCAATCCTTCAATTTAGGAATAAAGTTGAGAAGATAGCTTTGTTTTTTTTTTTTTTTCCAAACAATTTTACTGTTTGAAGTAGAATTTGCTCTTTGGTAACTTTAGGTAAGATAAGTGAAAAACAATTGCCAAAATGTTACCTACTGTGACACTTATGAATATTTTATGCTTCTTAGCCTTTGTAAAGTGCTGAAATTCTGTCATTTGTTATTTGTCTGACTTAAACTACAGCCGAAATTGTTAGAGATTTTGGTGTCTCATGTTGACAGGCAGCTCAGAGTGGTTTCACATATTTTCATCTGACCCAGAAACAACTTTTGGAAACGTGAGACCTGAGGCCAACTCTGTGTGAAAAAGTAGGAAGAGCTTGAAAGGTGGCTGTTAGGTGCATGCATCTTGTGTGTGTGTCTGTGTGCATGCACCTATTTTGCTGATCTAAAACTGGTTGAAGAAGAACTAATGTGGAACCTGTGAAACTCCCAGAGATTTAGGGCCACAATTCTTCTTCTTATTCTAAAGTAAGGAAATAACTGTATTATATTAGGCCATCATGTAAATAAAATTGTCCTGAGCTTTACGTATAATCTAGTAGCCTTGGAATGCCCTGGGTCTCACATCAACTGTCTCCATCAGGTTTCCTCTTTGGGCACTCACTCTCTGTGCTCCACATCTTTTCCTCTTTGTCCTCTAGCATATCCGCTGTGCATGAAGGTGCTTGTCCTGGGTCCCCACCAGGATGAGAGTTTAGTGATACTAGCAAAGGTTTTTTGGTAACCATAATGCTGACATTTCATGTCTTAATAACTTTGCATTTCATGGAATATACATCTTCACAGGATTTTTCTAAATATGATTGTACAACTAAAAAGTGCTTTTAATGGTGAGAATTGTCTCTCACCAGCTATATAGTAAGTGGAATCTTGGGTGCTGAGCTTGGTCCCATGGGGGCCTTGATCTCCCAGCATGTCATTATCACAGAGATTGCCTACTTCACAAGCAGCACAAACCTGATGGCAGCTGAGCAATCAGGTCAAGTTGTTTGACCTTTATGTGATGTTCAAAATTCGGTTCCATTTCTCCATGAAAAGCAGTTTTTTTAGTCCACATAATTATCTATAACATATTTATTTCAAACAATTTTGGCTGAATTGATAAAATAAGCAAAAAAAAAAAAAAAACACACACACACACAAACAAAACCTTTTTCTTGACTGAACTCTGTACTTACATAATAGTTAATTTGCTTTCTATTGAGTGGAGATACTTCATATTTGACCAAGAAGTTAATATAATATTTGAGCAAAGAGTTAATGGTTTAGAATATTTTGTTCATGACTGTGTTCATGGGCAATGGAGAAACTTTCTTATGGCAAGTACTCTAGAAAATCCACTCCTCACATAGAATGTGAGTCCTTTGTGTGCAGGACTGGTCATAACACCTGATATAAAACATGGAATACTTGTTAAATGGACAGGTAATCATTCTGAAAAATGTGGTGTGTTCCAGGACCTGATCTTCACGTTTGCATATCCAGAAAGCCTACATGTTGCACCAGGAAGATGGAGGAAAGATATCAGATTGCAGCTCACCAGGATATGCAGCAGTTCCTTCAAACATCCAGCTCTGCATTAAAGTTTCTAATATCTCGAAATGCAGCTGCTTTTCAAGGTAAGTGGATCTTGAATTCTGCAACTAAGGACCGGCAGTGTTATGTAATTTGCCTAAGATAGTTACATTGGCAAACTTGACTGGGTTTATTTCCTTGTATTTACATAATATTCTGGTATAAAATGAGATTCTAACTTTTTCTAACCTTCAAAACTTGTTTCTGAGGTCATTGTGGGCATATATATTGAGTGGGACTGGGGAAACTGAGTTGGACTGTTATATTAGTGAAATGATCATTGGAAATATATACTGCTATAGGGTTCTTCCAGGTCTGCCAACATTCTGACCCATAGCTGTACTTTAATATGAACAGACATAATTATTAGATTTCGTGGAAAAGTTCTATAACATAAAATTTCATTGCTTTTAACTGGATAATTATAGATTCGTCTATTAAATTGTTTTTGGATGTCACATAATTTTATTTTATATAAAATTTTACTTTAAGTTCTGAGATACACGTGCAAAACATGCAGGTTTGTTACACAGGTATACATGTGCCATGGTGGTTTGCTGCACCTGTCAACCCGTCATCTAGGTTTTGAACCCTGCATGTGTTAGATATTTGTCCTAATGCTCTCCCTCCCCTTGCCCCCAACCCCCCCAACAGGCCCCCGTTATTTGAAGAAATACTCTTGAAATTTCCTCTCTATAACCTCATATGGTTTTCATAAGAACACCAGTGGAATATATCAAAGTGCAAGCAAGTCTGATAAATAGTAAAATAGGAAATGTTAATTGGATGTTTAAGGGTCAGTTAAGACAAGAACTCAACCTTAATTCAAGCAATATGTTCAGATATAAAATTAATGGGTTATAAAATTACAAGACACACTGAAAAATACATGATCTTTTTCTTATTTTAGTCATCTCTTCTATAAAATTCCTTATTACTACAATAAAATAGCTTAATTTATTTTTCTTCTTATAAAGCATTAGCTATTCTGTATATGACTAGAATGAAAATATCTAGATTATACAGCTTTTCAAATTACTACTTTTGTTCAGTGCAGAATGTAACTTCTGTTAGTATTCCTTTTAAATAAGTATATTAATGTCAATCTATTTGAATGATTTGCTTTGTGTACATATATAAGTAAATCACAGAGCCCTTTAATTTTTTAAATGATAGTTATTAAATAAAATAAATGCAATAAATCAGAATAAAATTTAAGTTAAAGTGTAGTTCATGATGAATTAATGCTTTTTTGTAGGAAGTGTGAAATGTCAGATTTTAAGGTTTTATTAATTTAGCTACTTTTTTAGATGCCCCACAAAACAACTTTATTTCTATTGTAGGATTTATTCATGTGAAATTGTTGGAGGACAATTTACTGATAGACATTTTAAACAAAGATTTGTGATTTAGCTGAGTTAGAAGCCGTTAACCATCTACAGAAAATTATATTTTCTTCTCATGAAAAGGATAGTATGTACAATATGGAATATATATTTTGGAGCCATGCAGTGAATATATCAGTCTGAGCACAACAGGGAGTTTGTGGTAGGTGGGCATATGCTTAAAACGGTGAACTGGATTCATAATGAATCTGGGATATGTGATCAAGATAGAGCACATTATGTTCAAAGGGTTAGGAAACCTGGAATATTTAGACTTTTAAGGTGGATTGAGGCTAGTGAAAAATTTTGGTGATACTGCTAAAAGTTTAGTGATAACTATCTCAGTAGTAGAAATATATATTAAGGAGATCATCTCTACTGAAGTGTCAGCTAATTTTATGTAAACCTTGTTTTCTGTTTACTAAATTATATCTGCTTTATTCATTAGGTTGAGTTTTGCTATTTAAAATTAATTATAAAAAGTATAGAGACATTCTTAAATATGATTTTTTAATAATAAATTATTTCTTCCTTAGTAGATGTCAAGTTTTACTTAAGAATCACAAGGGAAGACAAATTTAAAAGAAATTTGCCTAAAGGCTAACTTTTCTGGAACCAAATTCCCTTATAAGAATATCCACTTTTATCGAATTGAATAAGTAGCTTTAAGCTTATTTCGGTAAAAACAAGCTTAAATATATATGCCAAAAGCAATATGAGGGATCAATTTGCCATATCATAAATGAGCAGGCTACCTTATCATTAAGTAAAATGCCCTCCATCTAGTTTCTGTGCAATTAAAATATCTGAAAACAATATAAAGCCTTTATAAGAAGGAAGCAGTCAATACATTTTTTTGGGAAACAGTCTACTTGAGAGAAATTTAATAGAGAAATCAATTAACTTCTCAAATGATGTAAGTAAATTTGCTACTTTTTGATTTTTTAGTTTTCAAATAGTTCGTTTATATTTCCTAGTTCAACAATATTAATCTGCTTTCCGAGTTATATTGTAGGTTATAAAAGACATTGGATTGGAATGTAGTATGGTCTCTTCCCTCATGGACCTATGGGACCCCACGGAAACATATTTTTTGGAGCAATCCTTTGAATACAGTCAATGAGGATGATCACTTGGGTCTGAGGATTTAGCAGAGGTCACACTGTTGTTAGATGAAAGCTGGGAGGTTAGAAATGCATGCGGGAGAGAGGAAGCCATGCTGACAGCTGTTGTTAGAAGAGACCTAAGATTATCCTATGTGAAATTCACACTGGGCCCTGTAGTCCACTGCCTGTGAATATTCCAGTTAGGCTAGAATTAGCCTCTAGGACAACTCCTCTGTTTTTTAAAGAAATTTATTTGTGTTTACTTTAGGCAGATTTTCCTTCCTTTTTCTTTTCTTTTCTTTCTTTTTCTTTTTTTTTTTTTTTTTCCACGATGGAATCTTATTCTGTCACCCAGGCTAGAGTGCAGTGGTGTGATCTCCGCTCACTGCCACCTCTGCCTCCCAGGTTCAAGTGATTCTTTTGCCTCAGCCTCCAGAGCAGCTGGGATTACAGACGCGTGCCACCACGCCCGACTAATTTTTGTATTTTTAGTAGAGAGACAGGGTTTCACCATGTTGGCCAGGCTGGTCTTGAACTCCTGACCTCATGATCTACCCACCTCGGCCTCCCAAAGTGCTGGGATTACAGGCGTAAGCCATTATGCCCGGCCCACATTTTCTTAAAATAAACAGAACAGACAAAAATCTGCTTTTAGTTTTTACTTATTTTCATTTTTTCTATTATTAATTTTTGAGACAGGGTCTCACTCTGTTGCCCAGTCCAAAGTGCAATGGTGTGATCACATGGCTCACTGCAGCCTCAACTTTGCAGGCTCAAGTGATTCTCCTACCACAGCCTCCTGAGTAGCTAGGACTATAGGCTTATGACACCTTGCCTGGCTCATTTTTGATATTTTGTAGAGGTGGGATTTTGCCATGTTGCCCTGTCTGGTCTCGAACTCCTGAGCTCAACCCATCTACCTACTTTGTTCTTCCGAAGTGCTGGGATTATAGGCATGAGCCACCATGCCTGGCCAAAAATCTGTTTTTAGAAGGACTCATGATTATGACCTGGGACTTCACTATATTCTAAGGGCAATCGTCCATGCAGTATTTTATAGGGCAGAAAAAGCAAACTGCTATCCTTATGTCAGTTGCTGTTCATAAATAAGTAGTGCTGTTTGCAAGGAGGAATGTTGGCTTTGTCACAGTGCAAACAATAACTGTTCTTCATTTTCAGGGGCTTAGTAATGTTTATGAATAAAGCAGAACAGCCTGGGATAATACGAGAATTTGTTTCCCATTGGTGGTTTTGCTATGACTATAAGATTTTCTGCTTTAAAAATATTTTGGAAATTTGTTATAAATGTTTTGTTTATTTATACATGACAGTATGGTGTGATGCATGGAGAAATAGGGGAAATTGACGGAGAATATGTCATCTTCTGTAAAAAAGCAACTCTTTTCCAGCTTATATATTTTTCAGTTTTTAAGTCTCTGTTTAAATAAAATAATGAAATTTAGTTTTGTAATTTTTAACTATGCAAAAATTTCAACATGACTTTCAAAAAGTAAAAAATAATATTTTGGAAGACACTATTGGAAGCTTGTGTTTTGTTTTAATATTTAGAAGATAAGGTTAAAATGTTATATCTTTCCTTAGAAATGAAACTTTTCCTATTTCTCTCAACTTCATTATGCTCATATATTTCTAAAATATATGGTAGATACTAAGTCTTTATTCTGGAAAATTTCCAGCTGTATATATAACTGGAAATGTAAAATTCTAAAAAATGAATGTTATTGCTAGAGTCTAACTGTAAGGGATAGTTAGAACAAAAATTAACATTTTTTTGATTTTATCTCTTGACTAATTAAATTTTTATTCCTTGATTATATGTTTTTGAAAGATTGGCAAGCCTGTCCTCTGGGGTTGAAATATTAGATTCAGGAATTTATTAAAAAATAGATTTCTATTTTTAATGAAATGTAGGAATATCCTTGAAATTAAATATATTTAAAAAGCAGGTGAATTGAGAATATGAATATAACTTAATGGATTTTTATCCTTTATGCTAACAGATACTACTTACTGTAAAGTATATAGCTATAATATAGCTGCTACTGTAAAACTAAAGTATATATATACACACACACACACACACATAGTAAAAGACACAAGACATAGTTAATATTCAAATATATTAATGAATATGAGGGCAAATAGATTTATATAAATGTTACAATATTAGGCATAGAGTGCATTAATCTTATTTAAGTCAACAGCTATGCTTTACAGAAGTGGACTATATTTAAAATTTTTCCTGCAGTGAGCCCAGATCGCGCCACTGCACTCCAGCCTGGGCGACAGAGCGATACTCCATCTCAAAAAAAAAAAAAAAAAAAAAAAAAAAAAAAAAAAAAAAAAAAAATTCCTAGGAAGGATAAAGACATATTGCTATTTTTAACACTAAGAATTACTTGATCAAGGTTAAGAGAACAGGCAGCCTCTGCTGATAGTGTTGGGAAGACTTGCTTGTTTCTATCTCTAGCACTGAGATCAGATACACAGCAAATGTAAGTAAATTAACTGTATGAATAAAGGAATGAATGA